AAGTTGAGCTCTTCACAGATAAAGCTCAGACCAGTGATGGTTTGTTAGCAGGAGGTCCCAGGGCACCGTACCCTTTTAAACAAGGAGAGAAGAAAGTCGACTTCTGTTTAACATACATGATTCAGAAATGTTAGATAATAATCCATTTATCTTCATTTTCTCTGTAAAATAATAATTTGACAACACTGCAAACTACATCACAAAGTGTTCATCCTCTGATTGGTTGTTAACTTAAGCTGATTGGCTAAAATCAATTAAAGGAATTGTTAGGCTTTCAGGAAATGTACTTAATTATTTATTTTGCTGAGGGTTTGATGGTCAGATCCATACCAGTTGAATGTCTGTATGCTAAAATTTAAGCTTGAGCACAAAAAAAAACCTCACTTAATACCATTTATTACCTTTACATTTAATCATACATTTAATCTGTATGAAAGCCAAAGTGTTAATTTGACAAATGTTTAACTCATAGGGGTTTTTTTACAAGATGATTTCATGGTCAGGTACTTGACACCTCAGATTTTGTTCTCACTTTGAGGTTGCCACACACCCAGTAAATACTTAGCTAAGCTAACTAGCTGCTGTAGGAAGCTCCATACAGTACAACATTTCCTGATTATGATGGGACTGTTATGTCGCTGTCACTCTGTAAATTTTCATGATGCAGTAACGGTTGGGCAAAGTCCTTCTGACACTTTCTGTCGTTCCATCGAAGGTGGTAACAAGTGTAACAGATGGCACTTACTGACTGCCATTTGAAGACAGAATACTGACGTCCCCGTTACGCTTCACAAACAATGTACAGCGCACGTTTGCAGAATGGTTGGGGATATGCTGCATTCATGTGCTGCTCGGCTGGTCCAAGTTTGGAAGTCGTTCTTCTGACTTGTGATTTCAGTTCGGAAAGTCAGAATGTTGATGCTTTGAAGAAGATCAGTGAAATGTCAGTGTTAAAAGTTATATTTGAGCAAACAGTTTATGTGCAATACGTGAATTAATAAAAAATTTGGTAAGATTAACAAAACATATTTTGAATCGTGATGACAATTCTGACATCAAGTCGGGAAGTCCGGCACCTCATTCTTTCCCGGGTTTCCGACTTGTTGTTCCGACTTGAGCAGGTGTTCATGTGCATTTTATAACTTGTTTTTCCGATGTGTCCGATCCATCCATTCAGTTCATCCATCGGTGGAAGTGAAAGAGTTGTAATGGGGAGGACAGCACTGTGTGCGTGTGTGTGTGTGTGCGCATGCCTCAGTGTGTGTTCATGTGGAGCTGGGTGCTCACATGCTGTGCCACTTTGTGTTCCGCAACACCAAAATGCATTGTGAATTAAAACACTGGGACACAAATATTAGCCCGTTACAGATGCAGTCATGAGGTGTAGTGATCACAGAACATCCTTATCTGTAGGGGCTAGAGGCGTAACAGAGGCCAAACAATGTCACTGTAAATATTAGAGCAAGCACCTGCAAAACAGTGCTGTGTGCGTGTGTGTGTGTGGCTTATACTGTCTGTTTAAACTGCGGTGTCTATATTACGCCTATGGAGGGTTTGAAGTAAAAGTACAGAGGAGGTGTGATGGCGGAGCATCGTTGCACGACGGGACAGATTCTCAGTGAAAAGAGGGGTGATGTCTTCTTCTCGCTCTTAGCAATAAAGTGACGGCTGGTATTTCCAAAAATGGGAACATACTGAAACTTTTGAGTGAAGGAAATGTGATAAGAAATCAATCTCAATAAAAAAACGGTGCAAACTCAAATTTGCTGAGTCCATGCACTTTTGTAGACGGCTCTGTAACAAAGGAGACAGTGGACCCTTAATGAGACATTATCTCCTCAAATTGATAGAATTGTTTGAACAAAGTACAATAATACTTTTAATAATTAATATGGACAAAAAAGAGGGAAATGCTCCCATTGAGATGTTAAAACCTAAAAACCTGCCATGATTTTCTTACATTTTTAAGCCACTTATCATTTAAGCTTTCCATTATTTGAGACGACTGTTTCACTTTGAGGGAAGCCTGAATGTTCAGCTCAGTCGCTACGGTGATTTTCAGCCTTTGTTACCTGTCTGAGCGTTATGGAACCTGTATTCATGGCAGCATGATAATAGAAACAATCTGACTAAAGTGTACCACCAACCTCTCAGCATTCAAGTGTGCTGTTTAAACTGGAGAAATACATTTATTCTAATTGAACGTTGTCTTTAAAGTCCATGTTATCACGGTGCAGAGTGCACACAGAAGCAGTGTGATACCAGGGTCACAGCAGGCACAGAGACACACCGTGCAGATTACAGCTGCTTTAAATCGCATTGGTATGCACAGACACTTGGATAGAGAATGTAATTACAGTCGGGTGCACACACATACACACTTGTGCACAAACACAAACACGGTGGGGGGAAATAAAACACATGCACACACTAAGCCAAATGTGGACATGCCAAACAGAGATGAACACAAATCAAAACAAAGCATGCAAACACAAAAGAGATCCAGAGAACGAAGAAGACAGAGAGAATAGCACAGTCCCATCTGTCAAACAAATGTGCGGATGCCTCTCACACACATTCAAACACACACTCAAGCACATTCGCGCACACACGCAGCAGGCATCATTTAGTCTGAACTAGAGCGATATCTGCCTTTGTCCTTTAGCAGTGGGTCCTGAGGGGCGGCAGTAGAAGTTGCATGAAAGTTTGTTTAGAGCTGAGCGAGTGTGTTAAGCTTTATGAGAGCCCACGGGAGACATGGTGGCACACACAAACACACACACACATATATTCACACACACATGCATCTCCTCATACACACACACACACACACACACACACACACACACACACACACACACACACACACACACACACAGGCACGTGGCTTGGGCGGCAGCTCGCACTGGCCCCAACCAACAGTGAGGAGTTTGTTGTCATAGCAACAGTAAAATGAGATGACTTTACTGTCAGCCGTAATGTTTCATGGCCCCCTCGCCGCTATGGCAACATAACAAGGAGGAGGAAGAGGAGATGGAGAGAAAGAGAGCATCAGAGCCATCGCTGCCTTCCAGAGGACTCCTACCAGGAACAATGTCACTATGATGCACTATGACTTCCTTTCCTAAGACATGCACACACACACCATGACAAACCTGTCAAACACATACACTGATACACACGCACACACGCACACACACACACACACACACACACACACACACACACACACACACACACACACTTTGAAAAGCCTGTCAAACACCGTCTCCACCTTGCCCATCCCTTTGATTATGCACTGACTATTTTCAGCTGCATGTTGTCGTAGCCGGAGCAATTTGAATTCATTACGCTCAATGTCAATATTGATGCAACAACGCTGTAGCTCAGACAGGTACAGCTTGTTGAATGAGCATGCACGCTGTCAGGAAATGTGAGGAGAGAAGAAGAAGAAGAAGAAGAAGCAGCAGAACTGGAGAGCAGATCAAAGACATCCAGCTCCATCCGCTGCGTGTTTTCCTGCATGAAGCAGCGGTGGATGAAGCAGCGGGGTGACTGTAGACTGGCCCACTATGCATGGAGCAACAGCGTAACAGCTATGCATCTCATATCTATATTTAGCTCTGTCCTTCTACTACAGCACATCGCCACTGTTAAGCAGAGTTATCAGCGCTGTTGGAGAAAGTGAGAAAAAAAGGAGCAGTAGAAAGGAAAGGTGGAAGAGTGACAGACACGGAGAAGAAGAAGAAGAGAAGAAGAGTGGAGCTGAGTTGTTTTGCTCTGTTGCCATGGCGACACAGCGGCTGGAGCTGTAGCAAAGTGACAGTTGTCACGCCACAGCGGGTTGCCATGGGTGACAGCTGTCAGTCAATCGTGCAGAGTGCGGGGACAGATCGGCAGATGATCACCTTGGATTAGAGAGCGATCACACTACACAGGGGCCAGCCAGAACATATCTGGACTTAATCCCCATGTCCTAATGGTACTCTGATGAGTGAGTGAGTGTGTGTGTGTGTGTGTGTGTGTGTGTGTGTGTGTGTGTGTGTGGGGGTGTGTGGGTGCTTTCATAAGTGAATGTGCATGCAAATTTTTTTCCGTCCTCTCTTGCATCTGTCTGACTGTGTGTGTGTGTGTGTGTGTGTAAGAGAGAGGATGCTGTATTTGTGTGCAGACTCTGAAGCGTGTTCACAGGGTGAGTGCAGCAGATTACATTTAGCTGCTTCCCACAGCTGTCTGCGCGAGAGGACAATCAAAGGCCCACATGTGAGTCCTTCTGATTGTGGTGTGTGATACTCCGCCACAGTCCCCTACAATTACACACACTCTGCCTGCGTCTAACGAGCACAGCATTGCTCTTATTTCAGGGGAGTAATGGTCTGATTAGAATAGGGGCGGATTTGAACTCACACTCTTAATTTGTTTTCTCTCCCCCCCCCCCCCCTCCCTTGGCGAATGTCCCAATCTTGATCAGCTGCGGCGGTTCCAGATATCCTGCTGTGGAATAAAGTCTGATCATCGGACACTTAATTGTTTGTTCCGTTGTAAATCCAGCAGTTAAAAGTTTATTCCGCTGTAATCCATTCCTCCGTGCTTGACAATGAAATTTCCTCCTGTGGTTGAGATCACAGCTCTCTGACCCGACTGTTAGACCTTTAACAGCGTTCAGTATTTTATGACAGCAACCCCGTGTAATGTCAATACTCTGCTGGTACACTAGTAATTAGAGGGTGGTTGTACAAGACAAGATTTCCTCAGCCAATGAAGCACTAAATTTGCCATCCCAGTCAGGATTGGATAGAGAACCCCAGAGCAAAATGATGGTGTACTTCTCCCCTCTGATGTAACGGTCTGATTGGGAATGTGGTTAAAATCTTGTTGCGTGTCTCCACCCTTTGGCTTTTAAAACATTTAAGCTTTATGTGAAAAGCCAACTGAATTTTTGTCTTGTTTCTTTTTTTCTTCTTCTCCTCTCCCTCCTCTTCTGTCCTTTCCCTCTTTAGGAGTGAGCCCTGGGCTGGATGGGACCCACCATGCCCCCCAGTAAGAAGGCCCAGAGCCCCAGTAGTGGAGCCAGTGCCTCGCAGGGTATGAGCCCACTTTACAGACAGGGAGACGCCGCAACAGCAGCATCTGAGGCAGAGGCTGCTGACCTTTCCCTGTCCCTGTCTGCCTCCTTCTCCAAGGCCGAGGATGAAGAGCTCACCAGCCTCTCGTGGCTGCACGAGAGCACCGACCTCCTCAACAGCTTCAGCCACTCGGGGCTGCGTAGCGTCTCCCCCCTGCAGGACCCTGACGGTCAGCACCCTCGCTCGCCCTCTTCCTCGTCGCCCTCCCCCGACGACCCCTTGCTTGGGGATGCACACTCAGCGTACGACTTGGCCGCAGGGGCCAACAGAAAACCGCCGTACTCGTTCAGCTGTCTGATCTTCATGGCCATCGAGGATGCGCCAAACAAACGGCTGCCTGTGAAGGATATCTACGGCTGGATTCTGGAGCATTTCCCTTACTTTGCAAGCGCCCCAACAGGCTGGAAGAACTCTGTGCGCCACAATCTGTCGCTCAACAAGTGCTTCAAGAAGGTGGATAAAGACCGGAGCCAGGTAAAGACCTCAACAACTATTCTGAGAAGTGATGAATAATAATGACTTTGTCTCATACTTGTTTACAATTTGAATTCACTGAAGTATTCACATTTGACCTGCTTAACCGGTTTGGAACCCCTCCTCCTTTTTTATTCATTCTGCACCGCAGGAACGATGAACTCTTTTAGTTCCTAGAGCCCCGTTTAGAAACCTCCTGTTTCAGAGAAGGTACCATGGCGGTGTGAAAGCAGACAGAAAAAAGTCTCCATGGTGTGTAGTTCTCTCACTTAATATTTTAATATATTGGATTGACTTGAGTAACATTTAGAGTTGAAGAGCGGCTTGTTGTGGGAGGGATTCATTCCCTGTTTACCTGGAATGTAGTTTTTGAATACAATATTTGTAATGCTATAGAAATATAATATTAGATTGATTGATTGATTGATTGGACTATAAGGCGAGCTAACATCCTGCAATGATCTGCTTTATTCCAAGTCACTAGCCTGCTATTTTATACAATGTGTTCATCTGGCAAAGTGGAGGAAATGTGGTTTCTTCCACTATTAGGGCTTTCACACTTTGCAGAAATCTCCTGAAAAACTCATATTTCCAGGAGGAGCTGTATATGTGAACGCAAACAGCCGACACGCCGACACAAACACTTGAAGGAATCTTGGTGTTCATGCGTTACTTTTTATGACAGCTATCCTTTTCTATCGGAAAGGTATCCTTAAATGACTTCTTTCCCTGATTTCCGACTCTATCCACTATCCTATCTCTACAATGAAGGCACAAAAAGCCCAAAAAATAAATCTTTGAAAAAAAAACTTAAAAAAACTTAACTACTTGACTTTTCAAGGGAAACGGGGGGCCGTTGGGGGGCCCCCCCTAATATAATGGGAGGGGAAACACTGCATGCGACTGTCTCGATCTCTGTGCACATAATTAAATGGCTGCATTGTGTTTTCTGTTCGTCAGTATGTTGACGTTGTCATTCCATTGGACTACACATAGCATTGATAGAAAGGGAAATATTCTTATTATAGCGTTAATGGAGTAAAGCGGTCTCTTTTGCCTCGTCCTCTATTTCTGCGTTGTTTTTTTGTCACATCTTACCTCAGGAGACCCCCGCCCCTCTCGCGTCTGACAGGTTTAATCTCTCTCGATGTGAGGAGCTTGTGTGAACAGCCAGGTCAGGAGAATCTTCGGAGCAGTCCTCCTGAAATGATCGTAATTTCAGTGCATTATGTGAAAACGGCTTATGTGACATTAGCATGTTACGATTTTAAGTCTGTAGTCACATTTAAGACAGACTTGGAATCAACACTAAAAATGAAGCTACTTTTGATACGAAAGACATTTTTTGAAAATAATGATGAAGCTTTTATTTAAGTCATTTGTCTGTGATTATTTTTGAGAACCATTATTTGGCTAATTTAATCATTCCAGTAATAAGCACAGTGATATTTGAGTTTATTTATTTCAACACTTGAATAATTTAAATTCACTTCAAAGTGAAATTCAAAAAGAAATTCTCGTTAAAAACAGGTCATTGGTAAAATTAAACCAAGGTCAACAGAGGGTGTTCTCGTCTAATAGATTGCTTCCTATAATTTCCTCCCAGACAATCTCTCCTCGAACACAGTCTCAGGAATTGCCCCAGCCCCAATCTATCCATCCATGCAGGTTGTTTTTTTAAAATCACTTCTCATAAATAATATTCTGAATACCCACAGTCCAAAATAACTGCAGCTACAAGGTAAATACTCAGTCCATTATCCTTTCTATCATGTGTTGTTATAACTTATTTCACAGCCAGGCAGTTATCAGCGGTTTGCAGGCATATCCAACTTGAAGTCAAACATATTCTCTATTTTGTCTACAGCTGTACCAGATTCGGCCTTATCAATAGTTGATGATCTCTGCTTTCATAGTTCTCTTTCACTCAGACGCTCTGTGCTACCCCAGTGGGAAGAGCGTTTCGCTTTTGATTTAAGTCTTGATACAGTCTTTTATGCCGGCTTTCCTATCCACATTTCACTCCATTAAAGACTCTGGGTAAACGGGGAATGAATCCCTCACTCAATTAGTGCTAAATTAATACTGGAGGATTTAATAACACAGATGCCAGCAGACTTTAGATTTCATCTCGCCCCAGGGTGTTGGGGGTGGGGGACAAACAGCGAGGATCAATGCTAGCTTTGCGTGTGTTTAGCTGCTTGAGATTATACTGGAGGATATCGGATTTCTTTATGATTTCCTTGACCAGAGTGTGAACCTGAACCGCTGCTTTTGAGTCAGCCTTCAGTGTGTGTGTGTGTGTGTGTGTGTGTGTGTGTGTGTGTGTGTGTGTGTGTGTGTGTGTGTGTGTGTGTGTGTGTGTGTGTGTGTGTGTGTGTGTGTGTGTGTGTGTGTGTGTGTGTGTGTGTGTGTGTGTGTATTTGTGTTGGGGAACAAAATGGATGAAGGATGAAGAGGACATGTTTTGTGTGTGTGTGTGTGTGTGTGTGTGTGTGTGTGTGTGTGCACACACCCTCACGCTATGTTGTCATCTGGCCCTTGACTACAACAGCGCAGAGTTTTTCTTGTATACATATCTCCATAGTAACTAGGTTGCAGTTGACATAAAACTATGCTGTTGCTGTAGCAACGAGAAAACTGATTTGGCTTTACTGACTTAGGCATTTGTGTGTGTGTGTGCATGAAATTATGGGTATGAGCGTCAGATGGGCACTGAGGTGCTGAGTGGGGGAGAATGAGTGTATGTCTTCGTCTAGTGTTAAATGCACGTAGTGTGTGTGTGTGTGTGTGTGTGTGTGTGTGTGTGCGCGTGCGCGTGTGTGTGTGGAGCAGCATGTGTAGAGGTGATTTTGGCAAGGACAGCCTGTCTTGTCTTCCTGTCGCTGCACACCGTTTAAGACAGCGCACTAATTAACCCTTCAAACCTATTCCCCTCTCTCTCGTGCACACACACACACACACACACACACACACACATCTTCTAACACACCCAGGGCATGTCTGACACACCAACAAACAAGCACACGCACACACACACACTCTCAAGAACGCATGAATGCATAAAAGGACACACACACACACACACACACACACACACACACACACACAGGCAAGCGCAGTGTCTGTGTAGAAATGAGGGCACATCTCTGCAGACTCCTACTCTACCTGCCAAGTGCCGAGCTTTATCTGAAGCTGCAATTACACAATCTCTGTAATTTTAGTCCGACATCGCCATTCAAAGCCTCTCACTGAGAATATCTACATGTGAATTCTCCTTTTTTCTCTCCCGGCTTTGCCTTTTTCTTCACCTGTTTATGTCTTTTTGAATGGCGCTTGCAATTACAGGGCTTGAGATATTTTCCTCTTTTATGTTGCATTATGTTTTACTCACTGCTCGCTGTGGAGAGAGAAGAAAGGGATTTGGTAAAGGGGAGGTCAGGCTAACGCTGTGAGGGATCGTAGATGCACACACGGAGGGGAAGAGAGAGGAAGCAGGGAGACATGGCTTACTGGGAACGCACCAAATCATATTTCCATCAATTTACAGAGGTGGAGATTAATATGACAGTGGCCTATTTGTTCCAGTGACTGTATTTCTGGGTCATATCCAGGCAGATGATAAGATGGGGGCTAGTATAGAGTAAGCCTACTGCTCCATGTGTGTCTGTATGTGCATGTGTGGTGTATGTGAGTGAGTGCAAACTCGTGAGAGAGAGAGCGAGAGAGAGCGTGAGACAGTACCACGGTTGCCATGGCATTGTTTACAAACAGGATTCCTCACTGTGCTGAATGACATGCCTTAATAACAAGTGTTGTTGCCCTCAGACTTGTGGATCAGCGCTGGAGATCAGTGTTGTAACAGCACAACACACACACACACACACACACACACACACACACACACACACACACACACACACACACACACTCAGAGCGATATATTTCTCAAAGCCTCTTATGAAATCACAGCAGAGACAACAGGCAGTTTTGTCATCCAAGACTCTCGATGAAATCCCTCTGTGTTGCACTTAAGTGTGTCACCTCTACCTTAACCTCACCCTGTTCACATGAGAGCACCCTGATTCTTATACGGTTTCATTTGAAGCATCGAGAGCGAGCTTACAGTAGATTGTCTGCTCACGGGGCTTTTTGATGTTTGTATAGCAGGAGGTAACGCCGCCGCTGATCTCAACTTAGATACATTTTACAGAGTTTTCTCTCAAATCATAAACATTGTCCAAACATATTTTGAGTCTCAATTTCCTGTTTTAAGTACGCTAACAACTCAAAGACCCAACCTCTCAGCTAAGACACAAAATGAAATGAAGGTGTTCAAGAAAGTAAGCTTTGCACGTAGAAATGAATGATTACTTTAATTTCTTCTCTGGCAATTTTACACAAACCAATCCATCAGTGAGTCTTACCACAACGATTAATTTGTGATGAAACAGTAAAAACATTCAAGACACCCCGTCATGTCATTAAATGTTCTTCACTGCTTTATAATGGTTTAATTTTTGGGGGTTTTGTATTCTTTTATTAAAGAGACAGGAGAGGGGTAGAGTCAGAAATGACATGCAGGAAAGGAGCTGCCCGCTTCCAGGACAACACCCTCTGTACATGGCGGACACAAACTAACCACTTAACCACCGGCGCCCCCTTAACTACTTTTTAGAACTGCACTTATCAATACTGTGACAATTATAATGGTTCAATTTGCTAACTGTAACATAAAACGGGCTCAATCATATTGGCTAAAATAAAACATTGCTATCTGATTTAGGGTTTCATCCTCATCTTCATATGAAGCATTCAACACCTTTCTTCAAGTTTTCAACTAAAGCAGGGATTTCTTTGGAGAATAAGCTATGATAAAAAAGCACAAAAAAGCAGACAGAGAAAGTTAGCTTGTATCTGGTAAATGTAGCGAAGCACTCAGGACTCACATATTTACTTAAGAAGTTGATAGCGCCTGAAACAGACCCTACAAGTTAGAC